AAGTCCAGGGTTCCATTGACAAGATGTAATTACTATTGAGTAAATTTAGAACTACCTATGTGTTTAAAAGATAATGGTAATTGGAACTTTTGTGGATAGTCTACCTAAACATAGTATATTTTGTCCTAATCCTGAAATTAGAAGGAATAGAGAAATAGCTAAATATGATAATTTTCCAGATAAATCCTACAGTTAATTCTAATCCTAAATAATTCCATTTGAGGATATAAAAAAATTAAAAATAGCTATTTTATATTGGTATTTTGTCTAATATTCTTCCAAATACTTAAAAAATCCATCTGCTAGAAACTCTTAGATCTATGAACAATTGTTAACATTATGAATAAAATTAAATAAGTATTGTACCTATTTTTTGTTGTTACTTTTAGCTGGACTTTCATGATATTTTTCTTAACATCTAAATCAGCAGAAAGCTAAATCCTTGTGAATTATTGATATGATTCTTTCTTGGACCTTTTATTCAAGACTGCAATATTCAAACAAAAATGTGGGGAGTTTTTCGTACAGGTTTTGAAGATTTTTAAGGAGATAATGTTTCCCCAGAAATTTGGACCATGTTCTGTATTATTGATTTAATATGATAAATCAAATTTAGTTCCCTGAATTTAAACAGTCTTGAAACTAAATTTTAAAATAGCTTATTTTTCTTGTTAGAAAAAATAAATTTTGTTTATTATGGAAATTTTGAAAATATAGCAAAACACACAGAAAATCAAAATAGCCATAAAACTATCATACAAATATTACTCTTGTTAAAATTTTGTTATTTTCCCTCTTAGTATTTTAAGAAATATAACTACAGGATTTTTTTTCTTTCTGATTTGTTTCTATTATGTAATACAGTTGTAACTCAGGAAAAGAGTGAAACATTTTTCAGCTAGAAGTTAAGTTTTTGTTTCGTGAGAGGATAGAGTTTATAAATTTGATGATTTTTCTCAAAAATTTGACATTGTTATTAAGTGAACAATATAAGATAAAACAAGTAATTATAATCATGGCAATAATGCAGACTTTAACACATCTTACATCATTAAAGATATTCCTGTTTTCCTTTAAATTCAATAAATGTAGGATTTTTATGCATGGTGTGTAAACATTGGTGTGCAGTGTTTACAACTTATGCTTTTTATGGCTCATGAGTAGAAATCAAGGTAAATCTGAAGCCTGGAAATTGCTAGAGTTATAGATAGTAAACAAAGTACTGATAAATTTAATTTCAGTAATTTTTCTTTATTTTTTGTTGTGGGAATTTGGGTACTCCTTTTTCCTGCAATACCTTTGTAATGTCTGGCTTATCACACTGACATACCACAATGAAAATCAGTCATCATTTCTTGTTCCCAAAATATTTCTTGTTTATTCTGGGCTCTGCAACTATACACATACTTATCTTTTTTAAAAAAATTAATACACTGTTTTTTAGATTCACAGAAAAATTGAGAGGGTTATACAGAGTTCCCTTCTGGCCTATACCCATTTTCCCCTATTAACAACTAAAGTCCATAGTTTATTTAGATTTCCTTAGATTTCCCTAATTTTTTTTTTTTTTAATTTAAGGATACCATATGACTTTTGTCTTCCTAGGCTCCTCTTGGCTGTGACAGTTTCTCAGATTTCCCTTGTTTTTGATGAACTTGACAGTTTTGAAGTACTGGGCAGATATATTGGAGGAGGCCCCTCTATTGGATCATCTGATGTTTTCCTCATGGTTTAGACTGAGGTTATGGTGCTGGGGAGGAAAACCACAAAGGTGAATGCCGTTTGCATCACATCAGATCAAGACTGCACATAATCAACATGATTTTTCAGTGTTCACATTGACATTGACCTTGCTTACTTGATCTTAACATTAAACATTATTATTATTTGGAACACACAAAGGAATGTGCGTATGTATATTTTTACATACATATGTGTGAATGATAATAAAATGACCACCTCTAATGCCCCTTCATTCCCCATCCTCGCCAAGGATTAAACACAGTTTTGGATATCACTGGTGTCAAGAAATACTTTTTAAAGGCCTATTTGAATGTGCATTTTTTTTCACCTGTGTTATCATTACTTTTACAACATATGGAATTGTGTGATGAGTTTGAAATCTATAAATTGTTTGACTGCCTGATCTTTGTACACACTAGAATTTTGTGTGTCATCATTTTATTTAATAAGTTTTTAAATTTCCATATTTTCAAGGATAGAGTGATTGGTAACGCTGAGGCAGGGAGGGAAAATAAATATTCAGTGGAATAACAGGTTCTTCTCATTAAATTCTAATCTTCTAAATTCATATTTCTATAAAATATGAAGAAGTAAATGAATCCTTAAAAGAACATTCTTACTTAAATTCTTAATTAGCTAAATATATATGAGTTATGGAGCTATCAAAATAAGCACAGAAAATTTATTTGAATATATAGAAATGTGAATTTTCTAGCCCTAGAATCTTAAATAGATTTCCCCCTGTTCATTTGAAACTGTGCTGCTTTCATTTTGACAAGTATAAGCTGGATTCAAAGAGCCTGTGCAGATAGCCTTTTTCTGTTTATTTTTGAAGGGGAAATTTTAATTATCATCATCTGTTGCATGTCTTAATTTAAGAAATGAGATTTGGGAGTAGACCTGTAATATAAACCCTGCAGCATTGTAATTAATTAATCATTAAGAGTGACAAATCTGTATCTGTAGTTGGTTTGTGTTTTGTTCGGTTTGAGCATTCTTCTTTGATTATCAGTGATGTGGCAACTAAGTGAATCACATTTTAAGCCCAAACACATTTGGCTTTAGAATTATTTGTTTTTATGTGATTTAGGTCTTGTGATATTTGGAAGCCAGTACAGCATTTGAAATCCAATATTGAAGTGTCATTAAAACCCACATGCAAGAAGCCGAGTAGCCACCATTCAGCCCCTTGTGTGTCTTCCCCAGCTTCACCCCTTAGAACTCGATCTGGGAAATTGATGAAAAGAGTAGCTGAACGGAGGTGGTCTCTCACCACCATCCTCATAGATGAGAGACCCAGGGCCTGGGCTAGTAGAGGCATGGTGGCAGTGGTAAAGCTTAGAGAAGACTCTTTGTACGACTGCCAAGGCTTCTGGCTAACATGCAAATAGGAGTAAACAAAGTAACCAAATAGTGGTCATTGTTAACAAATGAGTTAAACTGGAAGGGTGATGATATCTCTATCAGAGAGCCTCCTTTGCTTTGAATTTGTTATAATTTATGGAGTGTTACCATGTGTTAGGCATTGAGCTAAGTGTTTCATATTCAAAGATAAAATGAAAAATTCTTTACATCAAGAAACATCATGTGGTGAAATAAATGGTCAACTAAAAAGACTATTTAGAATTCAGCGTGCTGGAGGAATTCACAGCTGTGGAAACAGATTCGTCTCACCCCAGTTTGGCTAGAGGATAAGAGTTAGGGTAGATTTCAAGTCACTGATATCTGGGTGGAACCACAAAGAGTAACTAGGGTCAGCTAAGCTGGGAAGGGAGTGGGAATGCTTTTCTGGCAAAGGGATTAGCTGGTGCAAAGGGATGTAGCTTAGCGAGACAGCTTGCTTGGGCAATCTTCAACAGTTCTTTGTGACCTGGAAACTTGAGTAGTTTTAAATGAGAGGCTGGAAGAATAAAAGACTCTTGACATTACCAGGTAAATAGTTCAGACTTGATCCTGAAGTATGTAGTGATGGGATCAGAACTGTATTTTAAAATAAGTATTTTGACTGCTGTGTGGGAAACAGGGTAGAACAGTGTAAGACTGGAGAGACTGTTTATGAGATTGTTCCAGTAATTCAGGACAGAGGTATTGTGCTGGCAGTGACAGTTTGAGTGGAATATATGAATTCAAGAAACGTGAAGGAAGTAGAAGCTATAGGGGCTGTGACACTTTGTTATAAGGCATTAAGGAGGATGCCAAGTTTAGAGACTGGTTACCAGATCTCACTTTTGGAATATGGCACAGTTCTTAACACAGAGACCTTAAAGATGTTAGCTCTGTTCCACTTCCCCTTTCGCTTCATAGTATCATATCTTCTTCACTCAATGATAAGAATAAATATATTTTAATAGTCAATATGATTTCAAAGGCAATACAACACTTTAGCAACTTCTGGAATAACCCATTTCACAAATTTGCCTGATTCTTACTTCACAGACAAGCTGATTTCCTCCCCAGTTCCCTCCCCTGCCCCACACCAGCACTCACAGTTTATAACAGTCTGTTGCAGGGCACTCCGAAGCAAGATGAAAAAAAAGCTTGAATCATCAATGAAGTATTCACACTTCAGTGAAGAGCCAAAGTTGGTCAGATATTGGATTAAAAGGAAATAATTTTTTGTTTCATGGTGTCAGCCTTTGAAATTGCATCAGTGTTTTTCCTGCTGTCTTCGGCAGACAATTTTTGTCTGTAATGAGAGGTGCTTGCAAAAGCATTTCTCCTTTATCTGGGGGACCAAGTCCATGCTTGTGGCCATGGTCTGAGTTTCGTAGAATGCCAAGGCGAGGGAGCAGTAGACCTTGAACCATGGCTCCTTGAACTCATAGAAACAGAGTAGAATGGTCTTTGTCAGGCTGAGCGGTGGAGGAAGTGGGGAAATGTTGGCCAAAGGGTACAAACTTCCAGTTACAAGGTGAATAAGTTCTGGGAATTATACAGCGTGGTGATTATAGTTCACAGTATTGTATTGTATACTTGAAAGTTGCTAAGAGAGTAGACCTTAAGTATTCTTATACACCCCACCCCCCACTATGAAGTGACAGATGTGATAACTGTTCTCATAATCATTTGATAATACACAAGCACATATATCATTGCATTGTACCCCTTAAACTTACACAATATTATGTGTCAATTATATCTCTATAAAGCTGGGGGAAAACATTTAAATAAGTAAAAAAATTTTAAAGTAACTCTTTACTAAATTTAGTGTATGACATCTTATCTTTCTAAAATATTGTTTTCCCCTATCTTTTCAGGACGGGCGGAAGCTCCAGGACAGTTTAAGGCAAGGTGCCACAATCATCACCACCTTCATCAAAGAGAGAAATTCTGCATTCGCCGGTCAGCTGCTGGTGGCATGAAGAACACAGAGGAAATTACCTACTGAGTTTACAGAAACGTTTATCTAAGTCTCTTTTGCACTGCCCTCCCGACTGTGTGTGGTAGTGCGTTTAAATTGTCTTTTACGTCTCCTAATTTGTAGGATATGATGCTTGGGTTATAAAAGTGAATCGATGTTTATATCTGTGAAATAAAAATTCACTTCTGTGCATGCCAAATATACATTGCCTGAACCAGAAAAGAATAGGTAAGTGGGAACGAATAGCCTTCACATAATCTTTTTACAAAAGCATGAAAGATCACGTAGGAACAGTGATGGGTGAGTTAGTCCTCCAAGGAATGAGAATGTAGAAATCTTGAACTATTGTCTCTGTGTTAGTCAGTCACACTGTATTGAAACTAATCTATAAAGTTCAGAATTATTCTTAATTCTAAAATTGTCCTCTCTTGCCCTGGCTAGTGTGGCTCAGTTGGGAGATGTTGGCCAACTGAGCGTCATCCTATGCACCAAAAGTCACCAGTCAGGGCACATACCCAGTTGGGGATCTTGCAGGAGGCAACAGATCCATGTTTCTCTCTCTCTCTCCCCAATTCCTTCCTCTCTCTCTCAAACAAAAAATCTGTATAAACATACATATTTTTAAAAGATAAAATTGTCTTCTCACCATGAGACCTGACATGTGTTCTAATTTTTCATGCCTTAAAAAAATAAAACAAGAGACTGTGGGGAATTTTGGTTTAAATATCTTCACTACTGACTCTCACATTACTCAAGGTCCCTAAACAAGATGTAATATACTCCTTGGTTTATGAGATATACTTTTTACTCATTTTAAAAGGTCTCTGATTTTTCTGAATATATTAAAGAAGACTGGAAAGCTTCATAAAAGTGAAGTTATTTTGGTCAATTCCAAGTTAGACTTATAAAAGGCAGGGACTCATTGCACGTCCAAGAATTTATTCTTTTGATACAGATATCATTTTTTAAATCAAGTTTTTATTCTTTCAAATTTCCACTGGCATATACATTTTAAATATTGATGGTTTCCCCTATATTAATTGCATTGTATAATTATATACATGCAGGCATTAGAGATGCTTTTTATTCCATATTTACATTGACTTTCTAAAAACACATTAGATCAGATTATTCCAGGGCTTAGGCTCTACATGGAAAATATAAAAGTTGCATGAGATGTTTCCTTTAACATATCTACCTTGTGGAATTTCTTCTTTACATGTTGGATGAGTTTTTCTATATTTCACAGGTATCTCTATGAGTAGGAGAGTTTATATTTTACATTTAAGTGATAGTGAGTAGAAAACAATGGACTTGAAGTAAATATTACAGTTTGTTCCCCTACATGAAATGCATTTTTTCAGCATAATTTGGATCTAAGTTCCTGGGCTTGCCACTTTCTCTCTAGGGATGTTAAGAAATAGAAAATAAATCATATAATTCAAATCTTAAGGGTGAGCATCTGTGGGAAACGTGAATTTTGGTTAGAATGACTGTGTTGTTAAGGCAGTGGTTTCGGCTGTGTTGTGAAAAGTTTGTGCCTTCTGCCTGTTGCAGTTTTCAGGTGAAAATGTTTTTAAGAATTTGAAATTGCTTATAAGGGCAAATTAAGAAATATTATCAAGGTTTTAAAGAGAGGGTGAGTATCTTTAAATTCAAGGCAGGAAACTGGGCATGTCTGTGGTATAACAAAATCACTGTATCGATCGAGTGCTGGCTGAGTCCCTTAGATTCGGCCTAATAGTGGAATGTCATACCAGACAAGAATTTATCTGGGAGCAATCAGTGTGACTTTACCTAGGCTATTGGAAACATTCAGTGTGATGAGGTTTAGTTAATAAAACATAAAATTGTGTCTAAACTAATCACTACCATCATCATCACCATCATCATAAAATTTAATGTTTTTTTTCTTTATAGTTTATAATTGATTCGTAGTATTGAAAATCATTTAAAGACATCACCCCACTTCTTTTACCATTTAGATGGGAAGTGATGCTCAGGGGTCTCAGCTACCTTGCCCAGAGCCATGTGGCTTCCTAGTAACAAAAGGCAGGGCTTAACCTCAGGACCACTGGAGATGTTTTAAGCGCATCTCCCTGGATAACCGTGACTGCTGGCAAAGGACATCTAGCAGAGAGGCCGTGGGAAACAAGCCAGAGACTCCGAATGAGCACTGGAGAAATAAACAAGGAGGGCCAGATCCACCCAAGTACCAGAGGAAAGTCCTGAAGTTTTCAGGTTTCCAGCCACCTTTCTGACATACCAAAATTGTAGCTAAGGGCAAAGGGAGTGGACAGAATTATTGACCAGGAGAAAAAGGTAAATGAGTTGTTTTTATTGTTTAGGAGATCCACAGGCCACTTTACAGTTACATTTTCATCTCAGCTTCTGTAAGCGCAATTACTTTCATAAGAACTATTTTGACTTTATTTTTCAAAATCCCTTAAAAATAATAGTAATTATGCCTCAAGGTTGCTGAAATTACTTTCTACCTGTCGAGAATTTTGTAAAAAGACTCTGATTTTTTTTCTTCTAAATGTATGCTAGTTAATTAAATGCAACTTAAAGATAGCCTTTTTAGGAATTTAACAGTGTGATCATGGTTTGATTAATGACGTATTGGTAGGCGGTAGTAGTTTTCTTCATTAAAGTGCTCAATTTGAGGGAGAACTTGTTGTGTATATACTTATTTACAGAAAAAATTCAGATCCGTGTATTCTACCCAGAGCCATTCTTTCTGTGGTCAGCTTAAGCATTTTTGCACTAGTTTGACAGGAAAAGTTCCTTTTCCTATGCTAGTTTATTATAATTATAATCAAAGTTCATATATATTAACACAATGATTATGTTATAAAAATCAAGTTGCAGTAGAATATTTTTTTATATGGAATCTGAAAATTTTACTTCCTTTTCATGTTTAAACTAGTCATTTCAAGGAAGCATAAATCGTAATATTTAAATTAAAATGTAAAGAAAGTCATTTAGAAGAAGAAAAATTGAAGTTAGTTTAAAGATTAATCCAAAAATAAACAGAATAAATAAATAAAAACTGCATGTCATTTTAGTACTTATTAGTATGATTTGAAATAAGTGGACTAGAAGAGACTGTGTTGGTGGTTTTGACATTGTAACATTTATATATGTTCTTATTCATTTTTAGTGTCAAAATTGTGAAAAACGTACTGATATTTTTTAAATGAAAAGTAACAAACTACTATTAAAGATTCTCAATGTATTCTCTTTACAAAACAAAATAGATGATTAACAAATAACTAAACAGACCACTGATATTTTAAAATCAAGCGGCAGTTGTCATTGGTATTTATTGTATATATGCATATTTTTCAAACTAACTCAGTCACCATTAAATAAGTAAATATAACATTTGTTCTGAAAATATAACAGTGTGATGTTTTATATGGTAGAAAGATAGAATTTGATATTCCGATCTGTTATTCTATAAAATATATTAAATATTTGCAAAACCAGGAGTCGCGATTAGATGTTTTCCTTCTTTCCCTCATATTTAGCAGGTTTCCTAGCAATTATAGTGGCTGCTAAGGATATAAAAGCTATACTCTGACACATCAGAAAGCAATGCTGGATCCCTTCCCAGTGCCCGCATGAGCCTGGTGGGCTGAACTGTTGCTCAGAAATATTCTTCCTGCCACTTAGCTTCCATGGGGGGAGTACATTTCTACCTCTGGACTTGGGGATGCATCTTGTGTCCTGCTTTGACCAATAGAGCGAGTCAGAATGGCAGAGCACCACTGCAACGACACCTAAGAGACCTTTCATGCTGCCGCTTGCTCTTTCCACTTCTGCCCCCACCAGGAGATGAGCGTGCCCACCTGGCCCGCTGCCTCCAGAGGGGACAGGAGCCCAGGTCAGCTGATCTCTCATTGCCAAATGGATGAACGAGCAGCTGAGATCAGCAGGGCCGCGGGCCCAGTTCAGTTGACCTCCCACAGGCAGGTGAGTTAAATAGATGCTCAGTGTTTTCTACAAATAACGAGTTTTGAATCTCTTTACTGCATACCAGTTGGTAGCCGGGAAAGATCTATGGCAGTGTTTGGTATATTTGCCCTCACAAGCCTTGGATGTGTTTGGAGACACACATTTTGCTAAAGCAAAATGCTTCTGAGGAGAAATGTTGGCCAGGGCAATGATCCTAAAGTACTAGAAGGGTCTGAGGATTTCCTCCTTCCCTATTTTATATAGTTACTAAAAGACAAAAATAGACCTGAATGTTTTAGAAACGTTTTCAAAAGAGGTTAAACTTTCTTGGGCCTGAAATGATACGGAGTTAAAAGATGGGCATTTAAAATAATAGATAGTAAAAACAACTAATGTTTAGGGAATGATTGCTATGTTCCCGGAAGCTGTTCTTATCGATTTACATGTACGTAACTTTTCTTCATGGTAACTTTATGCGCTAGGTAGTTTACCAACTTCCATTTAAAGATGAGGGAACCAGGCACATCCATGTCGAATAACGTATGGAGGGTCACTGAAACAGCAAGTGGGAGAAATGAGACTTGAATTTGGTACCTAGCTTCAGTTTATAGTCCTAATTTCAATGCCATTCAGTGTTACAAAGCATACTATTTTAAGATTCCTTTAAGAATGGCCCTCAAAGATGGGAATCTCAAGTGCCTTTTTTAAAATTTAATAGCAAGAGAAAGGAAATGGTTTCTATACACTCAGTGTCTCTTCTCTTCCTTTCCTTTGCCCATCACCAGCCCCAACACACAAACATTTTGGAACATCCTTGGGTTGGCATGTGCCAGGAAAATCTACAAAGACTGATACCCACATACAAGTACTATCAGTACCATCTCTGTGAGCTCTGCAGTTGTGGGGATTTCCTCAGGCAATGAATGATCAGACGCTTGGATAATGAAAGTAAGATGAGAAAGTAGGTGAATCAGAGTTGCATAGAGTCACTGGTGCCTCAGCAACACAGAAAGACGTGAATAGAGAAGCTAAACTCCATCACCATCATTACAAGGGAAAGGAAGGTCTAGAGAATGTCCAGGCCTGAGGAAGTATGAAGTCTTCCCTCGCCTTGAGACTTCCCTACGCACACATGTTCACAATGTTTACTCAGTGGGAAAACTTTGGGGTGAATGGTGCTCAGTATGAGTTTGACCTGAATGGAGCCAGATTGTTTTTCTGTTCCCATCTGAAATATTGGAATCTTTGATTTTTAAAAATGTCTTCACAGCTGAAATGCATTATGCAAATGTATTCTCGATATAGTGAGGATGCTACCAAATAATCTGAACAGTTGTTAAAACATCTGGGTCTGTTTAGCAGCATGGATAAAGCCTGGCTTGTCAAATGCAATTTTTTTTCCCATCCAGTTTAACCTTAATTAATCCTTGCATGGTCTCTGTGAGGTGGGTCTGTATCAACCTGGTGATATGATGATTGAAAAGCAGCAGATGCAGAGGAAGGGCTCGTGATCACCCAGTACGCCGGAGGCTAAACTCAGTTT